AACTCACTCCCGTGCGCCTATGGCCCTGTTCGTTTGGCTTATCAGTCGTATTTTTTCAGTGAAGTAACAGTATTTTTCTCTCATAACAAATCAACGAACAGTACTTTTTAGCATGGCTTTTCAGTAAAGCGAACAGGACCTGTATCTTGGATACATGACGCGTGGAAAAAAAAACTAATCACGCGACCATCCGGGTGCCACCACTTTCCACGCGAACAGCACGGCCTAGAGGGCATGGCTGTCGCCACTTTCCACGCGAACAGCACGGCCAAATAGGGCATGGCTGCTGCCACCTTCCACGCGAACAGCATGGTGAGCAGCGTGGTGCAAATCACCCAGACCGTCGTCCGCCGGGGGCCGGCAACCGCTCGTAGGCTCCATGACAGCAGTAGAGGGGCAGCAAGCATACAGACACAGTACAGAAGGCTTCGGAGCAGAACACAGCTTGCACCATAGCCAACACAACAATTACAGCATTCCCTCGGAAACAGAGGAAGAAGATAAACAGAGGAGACTCTGTTCGACAGTAAAGACGGGAGAAGACTCTAAACAAAGAAACAGAAAAAGCGGAAAACCCATAGCAAGAAAGTCGATCCTCCATATTCACTAGGCAAAGCATATCAAGAGCCATGAGTACCTCAGCTGCACCGCCATCCGCACCTACAGGCCACGGGATCGAGCTAGTTCCGTAGAGTGAACAAGTGCTTCAGGATGGTGATGACCATGGCGGCGCGCGGGAAACGTCCTGCCGCTGGCACCAGGGACAGGAGGCACACCCCGAGCATCCAAAGGAGAGGGCCGAGGAACGCCTCCATGGGGTCGGCGGAGGGAGTTCCGACGGCGGCGACGGCGCCGAACAGCATAAGGGCCCGTTCGTTTAGACTAATTCCCGGCTCTGACGACGGTTGGCCATATAAAATAGAGTAACCTTCCTGGCCGGATCGGTTCCGGCCCTGGATTCCGTGCTAAACGAACATGCCCTAAAGTGACTATACAATCACGTGTATATTTACAGTATGTTAACAGGCATACCAAAAGTCCCGCTTCCCTTTAGTTGAGGAATAGCTAAACTTTGTGTAATTCACTTAGTTTTGTTTTTTTCCCCCTTGAACCTTCGTGCTACCATTTTGTACTTTTTTAAATTTTAATATAATATGTCAAAACCCTCCTGTAGATTAAAAAAAACGTGACATGTGCACCTTTTCACATGCCTTTTAGCTTCCATCTCATGGGGAAAAAGCTTCTGTAGTAATTTTTTCTTGCAAATGATGATGTCGTGGTAAATCCTGTTCTGTTTAACTACTGATGGAATCGATTAAATGGATGCGATATTCATGTATAGTAGCACCAAGCAACCGAGCTTATCCCTTTATTTAGACTTATACTTCTTATTATGATTATCTTGAATATTTTCAACATATTTTGGATATGGCAACCAGCGATGCCTCCGGGGAATTGACCACGTTGAAAAATCTTGTCCCATTCCATGCCATTCCACCGAAGAAGTTTTGTCCTGCCCATGTAGTCATGTTCACACGGGTTGGTGTGTGTGAACATTTCAAAGGCCTGTGCGCGGCCAACCATACCGGGGAAAGTTACGTACTTACGTCCATAGTCAGATAGTCCCGTTTGAGAGCGATATAGGTGCAAGTTTTCTGTAAGTTCCGACGACGGCGACCGCGCTGAACAGTTTTCGAGGAGAAGGTGGTGGACGTGGCGTCCAGCCGTCCACGGACGACGACGGCCTCTCCACGGCCAGCCATTGGCTCCGGTCCTGTGGAACAGTGAAAGAGACCGTCCGTAGCACCACATTGTAAAATCATGGACTAATTAGGTTTAAAAAATTCATCTCGTAAAGTAGTCGCAATCTGTGCAATTAGACTTTCTCCTCCTCCTTTTGCGAATGGCCTTGTTCTGTTTTTATGCATCGAATTTGCATCATACGACAGGAGCTGCGTTCGAGATTCAGACAGCGACACTCAACCTGAACCTGCTAGGACCCCGTTAGAAATCTCTGATTGCAACCGGAGGATCAAACGGCACTGGGTGACAGAAAGATTTTCCTGTTAAAAAAATACTAGAACAGACATCACCGGCCGATGCGTACGTGGCTCCTGAGTCCTGTCTGACATTGGAGCACCCTGCTTCGTTTGCTGTAATTCTGTAGGCTTCAGAGCAGAACACAGCTTCTTCTACCACGGGTCCACGGCCAACAAAAACAAAGCATGTAACAACAGTACGGCACTCTGAGAAACAAGGTAGTAAAGCCAGCAGTAGACTCCGTAAGAAAGAAACCGACACGCTGGAGCAAAGAAAGAAAAAGTTCATCATCCTTAATTATGTATTTGATTAGCAAAATGCAAAAACCACGCCAAAGAGTGACCCAGCTGCACCGTGCATCTCCGAGGTCGAGCTAGTTCCACAGAGTGAACATTTGCTTCAGGATGGCGACGGCGGCCTGTGCGGCGCGCGGGAAACGTCCTGCCGCTGGCACCAGGGCGAGGAGGCACACGCCGAGCAGCCAAAGGAGGCTGAGGAACGCCTGCATGGGGTCGGCGGAGGCGCGCGGTTCCGATGTTGGCGACGGCGCCGAACAGCATCAGCGCGCGCGCGGCGTTCAGGTAGAGCTCCTGGTTCTGGAGACGCTGGCGATCTCCTTCGGGGACGACGACGGCCTCTCCTCGGCCGGCCATTGGTGCGCGGGGGAAATTGTTCACCTTCCTAGTTCCTGCTGCTGGGTGCGTTTGGTGGCCTGGTGGCAGGGGCGGAGCCTGGATTCGAGGATAGGTACATACTTAATATCATTGGAAGGATCTTTAAATTTAGTTTTTTAATTAATTTATTTGAGATACAAATGTTACATGTATTTTCTATAAATCAAGTTAAACTTATAGCACGAAAACCAAAAGTGACAAATAATTTAGGACAGATAGAGTATTTAATTATACAGTATAGGGGGATTAGTACAACATCGTAGGGTGCCAGGCCCCCTGGTGGGGATGGGCTGGGGATCCCTATATAGGAGCGAGTGAGCATTTGGTCCCGTCCATTATCATACTGCTTCTTTCATGCATGATACTAAAATCTCTTTACAGCTGTCAATTCATCTGGGATGCGTGTGATTACTACAAGGACTCTCGCCTTGTTAGCCTAAGTACGCATTGGAATTGTCACCAAAACGACACCGACCGTTCCTTTGGTCACAATTATCTACTTTTCAGTTTTCACGAACGGAAGGGCTAGCGCCCGGACGTCGCAGGACTCGTCCGAACACTGCTCCCGCACCTACGCCGCATCCCATCCCACAAAACCCTTGCGCTTGCATCGCATCCCATCCCACACCCCTAGCGCCCTGCATCCCATCCCACACTAGCGCTTGTGTCCGAACACAACAAACTCGACGACCCTCACTCCAACACCAACGCCGAGGATGGAAGGAAGGGAAGGAAGGGGAGGGAGAGTAGAGGAGAGGGCGAGGCGCACCGCGCGAGGTAGGAGCCGAACCCCTGCGGCAGGCCGTAGTCTGCCAGCTACCGACGCCATTGCAACATGTGCAACACCAGATCTATTTTGAAACATCCGGATGCAACACTTGCAATATACGTCTAAAGAAAGATGAAATATTTGAAACATGTGTCTGAAAACACTTGCAAAAACACCCAAAAACACATGAAAAGTCATTGTAAAACATACGCAACATTCAGATAAAACACTTACAACATACGTGTGGAATATATGCAACATCCAAATAAACAACTTGCAACAAACGTCTACAAAAATAGATAAAACATTGGGAATGCAACATTGCAATATATGTGTACAACCATTGCAACATATACAATATCTCGATCTACTTTTACAACATCCATATGAAACATTTACAACATATCTATCAAATATCTGAAACACTTGAAACATAAGGCTTGCAATGTACGTTTTCCACCCTTATTATGAAAGATGCAGCGCAGAGCGGGGGGACGGCCGGTTCCAGCCAGCCGGCGGTGGAGGATGATGGCGCGGCCTGGCAGGGGCCAGGTGCACCTGTGCTGGGGCACGACACGAGATGGAGGCGCTACGGGGGATGGCGGCGGTAGCGCGGCGGAGCGGGACGTGCGGACGGGCGTATGACGGATGAGCGCGGAGTGAGGAGATGAGCACAGAGTGGAGAGATGTCTTACTATCATAATCTGTTAATTTGTAAATTCAGTAAGCGCTAGATATTCGGCACTACTGCAACACTTGCTGCCTTGCTGGCACCACCGAGTGCCCTCTAACTCTAAAGACTACAGAGTGCGTTCTGCCATAGAAGAGGCGGACCAAACGAGCCAAAAGTACGTCGGCTCTAAACTACAAGTTCTTCTTGTAATCCTGGATTCCACGTTGAGGTTTAGGCGTTTGGCACCGAATTGCCTTGCTTCCCTTCAGTAAAGCATTAGGCTTGCTGCAACAACATGTGATTGTCACGTAAACAATTTTTAGTTTTCCCTGGGTTTTTGACAGTTGTTTTTATATAGATAAACGAGGACGAATGAAGTAACAGTGCTGAACTTGGATGCATAGCTCAATGTGGATTAAAATTTTTTTTGAGTGTCAGAATTCGCTATAAGCAGAATATTTTTACGCCAAAATCCTTTCACAGGGAAGCCAGTTTCTCAGTAAGGCAAGCGGAATGCACAGAGACACTGTGATGATACGAAACCTCGGAGTTGGAAAACTGCACAAACCCAAAGAGATTTGAACACGATGACAGTACATAAGATTCACAGATAGCAGACCTGTGGTAATTGCAATACTTAAGCAAAGGTACAAACAATACGATACAAGACCAAACCACACCAGGTTCGCAGGCCCCAAAGCAACGAGGAAGCAGAGTGAAACAGGGCAGCTCAATCTAACACAGTGCGTCAGTGCAAACCATACTAATGTCAATTTCTTGCTATACAACGACGACCACAACGTGCGAACGCCCATGCAACGGAAGAGACCTGTCGTCCCAGGAGCTAGTTCGCCGGCGCCAAGAAGTAGAAGAGGACGGCGTCGGCCACGGCAGCGGCAGCCCTTGCTACTCCTGGGAACTGGTTGGCCACCAGCGACAGCGTTGTGAGGAACACGCCGAGTAGCAGAAGCGCGAGCCCGACGAGCGCGTGCTCTTCGTTGGCAGGCGCAGCGCGGTTGCTGATGGTGTAGTTGAGGACGAGCCAGCCGCTGGTCATGAGGATGCGGCCCGTGTCGAGGAGGCGGCGCTGAACGTGCCCGAGGGGCACGGCGGGGGCCGCGATCAGCTCCGGCTCGTCGGCCATTGTGCGCGTAGTCGTAGGGCACTTCACGTAGTTTTGTTGCACTTCGGGAGTTGGATAGACGTGGATATGACTGGATGCTTGTGCTGTGTTCCTGTAGTGTGTTCGAGCAGACGAGTAAAGAGAATTATCAGCAGCATTTAAAAGGCCGGAAACACGGCAGGAAAGCATATACGAGGGGAAACACACGGCAGAAAAGCCAACGAGGTGAAATCGGCAGAAAACTACTGAAAAATACGGAATGATGGGCCATGCATGCGTTATTATACAGTAATAAGGCAGAAAATTGAACAATATATGGGAAAACATTAGGTGCCGACTGGCCAGGATTTGGGAGGAAGTCAGGAAGAGGAGGAGAGGAGAAGAGATCAGACCAGCTGCGCCTGCGATTTGCGATCGGTGGCTGCTGCTCTTAGTTGGATGGATGGATAGCTGCCCACTGGCTGCGTTGGTGTGGCGGGTTGCCTTGCCCGCCGGTGCCTTATATACAAGAGCTCAGAGCTCCGGCCAGCCAGCCATGGCGGCATTTGGTCACCCCTTAGTGCCTCATGGCTGCACCCGATCGACCATCGTTCTGAAAGAGCCCATTTGACATGTATTTCCGGTAATATAGTATGCTTTTCTTGGAGCATGCTAAAAGGTTGGGTGTCCTAAACCGTTGGTTGGACCTGGGTAAGTGACGCCGTCGCCGGGCCGGCTAAAAGGTCCTAGGTACAGAGAGCTCTGCCTCCGGCTAATGTGCCTGGCTGGTCAAAAGATGGAGCACAATGGAAGTGAAACTCAGATGCCATGGCCAATGGGCCCCTACTGTGTCTCTGCATCTGTGATCAGATCATCAGAGCCGGGAAATTCCCAGATTGTTCCATGCAGAGCTGGCCCTGCTTCTGAAACCACTTTTGATGACACAGTCCAGTGATCGGCAAAAGGGTTTTGTTCGGCTGCTCGTAAAGCCGCTTGTGCTGATTTGTATGGTTGATTTGTTGGGAGAAAAAAATATTGTACCATGACTTATAAGCCGGCTTATAATCGCCGGCAACACCAGTTGAATCGAAATGAAGTGCAACAAACAAAAACGTGCATCGGTGTGTGCTGATTGGAGCGCGAAGAAAAGGAATCTAAATTACCCCCTCTACTGTTGTGAAAAATACATGAAGTAGCCCAAAATTCTGAAAATACTCTATAGGCCTCTAACTTACACATGACCAGAGTCAGCGATTTTAGCAGACAAACATGCGGATGTGTGATCTACGGTCTTTTTTCAGTGGCAATGCAGCGCTATAGTCATATCAGCAACAACCGTACGTTCTTGGCATGGAACAGATTAGCTTTTGCCTCAGAAAAGACAAACATGGTTGTCATCCGCTAGTGCTGGTCTTTGCTGCATCCAAAGCAGGTTAGGCGTAATCGGCCCGGATCAGGTAATTATTGTCTCCACGATGAGGTTTGGACGTTTGCACTGAACTCCACTGCTTCAGTAGAGCACTAGAGCTGATTGGGTGGTTGACAGGTAGCTTCAGCTCGGCACGCGGCGAACGCTGAAGCTGTAGGCGGCTGCTCACATCACGCGACGCACAGTGGACAAAGAACCGGCCAAATCCCGCTGCTGCCGTCAGTGCTCTGACGTTGCCCTGCGCCGTGTCGCTGACGATCGCTCAGCGGCCTCAGCCCAGTCAACTGGGAGCCGAGCGGAGCACGGATCCCAAGGTCTCGCCGGCCCCACGTGTCATCTCGATCGGAAGCTTGTGCCGCTGCTAGCTGGTAGCTGCTCGTCTCGTCGTCGGTCGATCACGTTGCGTGTCTATTTATTATTAAGACATGGGCATGGAGCACGCGGCCTAGCTGCGCCAGATCAGATGCCGGGAGCTCGCTCGGAGGCGCTGGAGCCTAGAGCCCCATAAATTTTTAGGCAAAGTTCTATAGTGTAAATGGAGTTGAGACTTAAATCAAGTAGTAGTAGGAGGTATGTGTTGTTTAGCTCCCCCTAAAATTTTTTCTAGATCCACCGCTGGTCGTCGCCAGGGTCGCCGAGGCTTCCGCACCCACGGCTTCTTCCAGGTGGATACTGGGTATGGCCGTGCGCTCGATCGTAGTACTGATTTGCATCGGCTGATTGTCCTGATCGCTGGCAACACCAGTTGAATCGAAATGAAGTGCAACAATAAAAAAAAAAGTGCAAATATTCCACGGCGACACTTAAATAGGGACGAAGGGAGTATGTCAACAACCATTGAAAAATTAATGACACAATATATAGGGATGTTCAGAGATGCCTATATTTAGATAGCTTGATAGATTAGTCTATGTGCATGGGCGCATTGCCGTCCTGGTCTGCCCACGTGTTTGGTTTAAGTCATGAAGCAATCCGGAATCATCCGATCCAAAATCAGAGCCTAGCTGAGACATTTGGTTTGCGGCACGTCATGGGATGTTTGGTTAATGACGAATGAAAAAGTGAGTTCCTAGGTCCAGGGACCTCTGCCGCCGGCTAATGTGCGTGGCCGGTCAAAAGATGGCCCTGTGTTGTGTGTTCGATGGAGCACGATGCCATGGGAGCATAGCTACTGTCTGTGTGTGGTCAGAGACGGGAAGATTCTCGGAGTGTTCCATGCAGAGATCAGTTGGCGCCACCCTGGTTCTCAAACCTCTTTTGAGACATGTCAGTAAGACTATCTCCAACAACCGATACCTAAAACAGCGACCCATTCTAGAATTTGGGTTCTCCACAGCAGATGGGTCACCGTCCCAAAACCTTCTTTCTCCAACAGCGAAGGCAACCCGAGCTCCCTACCGAGCGCCGCCTCCCCTCCCCCGCGGTCCCCTGGTAAAAAAAAGAGATGGAAAAAGGACGCCGCCCCTTCCGACCCATCCTCGCCCAGGCCTCGCCGTCTTCGTCTCCGTCTCCGTCGCCTCCGTGCCCGCCTCCCTCCGCGCTAGCCGCGGCGGACACGCCATCGCCCCCGTGGCCGTCTCCCTCCATGCTCGCCGCAGCCCCGCCCTACGCGGCCGCCGCGACTTAGCCCCGCATCCAGGTCACGGCCGGGGGTACGCCCCCCGGCGTATGGAAGGCCTTGCGACCGACCACCTCCCCGGGCGGCACCACTGACATCGGCGCTCCGACCTCGCCTCCCCGTGGCCGTCGTCGGGCCCGCCTCGTCATCGTCGGGCCCTCCCAGATCCGGCGAGGCAGCCAAGCCAGCGGCTCCGGAGGTGCTCCCACGGCGCCGCCCGACTCCCTCCCGGCCTCGCTGTCATCGTCGGGCCCCCCTCGCCGGCGAGCTCCCTCCCCTGCGCGGTCGCGCCGGACTCCCGCTCCCGCCTTGCCTCCTTCACGCCGTCGCGCCACAGAGATATGGGTCGAGGAGAGAGAAGGACGCTTTTTTGCGTTTCCTTTGGGCTGGTAGCCAAAATGCGTCGTGTGGTTGGGTCACCCGTTGGAGCCGGTATTTGATAGGCAAAGCACTATGCGAGACTCATTTTTTGGTTTAGGTAGCTCTGTTGGAGTCAGTCTAACATAATGTTGTTGTCATAACTTTCTCGAACGTGCCATTGGCACGGATTTCATTAAGCAGAAGTAGAGTTTTACAAATTAAAGTTGGGACGGTAATTTTTTATTACCGAGCCAAAGACTGACAGAGATCACACAGTTGTGATTTACAAAAGAAAAAACTTAGCGACCAAGAGAAGGATCAAGCACCCTGGAGACCCTGAGCTCAGCGGCTAAACGGGTAAAGAGCGTCGTCCTCGAAGCCAGTGAGGTTCAGCTCCATGGCAACCGGATCGAAGTCTGGAGCGAAGAGCGCCTGAAGGGCCTCTAGTTTGGAGGGCGACAAAGGCGCAGCCAAGAGGGCCTTGATATTGTCCAAAGCCACAGGGTCCGGACCCCGCGGCCTATCTGCGATCCCCAACTTTTGCTTGAGCACATTTTGTGCTTGGATAGTCGGGTTGGAGGCCTTGGTCTTAGCTGCCAGCCTCCCACTCCGACGCACCGACATCACCATTGAAGGTGTCCTGGACCTTCTCAACCTCGGCTTGCTGAGCAACGGGGTCTCAAGCGGGATGCATACCCATGCCTTCAATTGTGCCAACAGGGACTCGGCCCTCGATACGGGCATCGCCGCGTTATCGGCGCCCGGATGGCCAACCCGCGTTGGCGTAGAATCGACCGCCTGATCCGCAACGCCGTTCTGTGCCATCCTTGGTGGCGTGACTTGCGGCATCTCCAGCTTAGGCGACAACGGGGGCGAATCCGTCGTTAGTGAGGCGCCAGCCGGAGTAGTGTGGCAGCAAGGCGTTGTTGGTCCCGCTGGCCGGGTCGCGACGAGCGAGGCGGTGAGCTCCTCCAGCATCGGGTCAACCCACACGGGAGGCCCCGCGCCCGCGTAGGGCTCCAAGACCAGCGGGTCAGGCTCAGGAAAGCATGCAGCAGCAGCTGCAGAGGCTTCGCCCGGCGCCGTCGTAGCGGCCCGTGCCGACCTCCCGAGATGCCTTCGTCGTTGGTGTCGCTGGCCGCCGCTGGCAGGCACGACGCTATCCGGCACAGTCTCACCAGTGCCACGCGAAACACCGTGGTCCGCCCGCCGAGCAACGGAGCTGCTGTTGGGGTCACTGTGACCCTCCCTGGTAGCACAGTCGGCTGCTGCAGTGGTTTCCATCGCCGCAGCGGTGCCGATGGCCTCGCCGCGGTCGACTGCAGCATCGCTGGGGAAGTCGTTGTTGTGTATCACTGGTTGTGTCCGGCGTCTTGTCCGCTGCTGCCTCGTTCGCCGCCGCCGTCGCCGCCTTCGGCCGACAGACGCTGGAGCAGACAACGCAGGCGTGGCTGTACATGCCTCCACCGGACCACCATGGTTGGGTGGCAGGTGGCCGTGGTAAGGTCCCGGGCATGCGGTCGTGGCCAGCCGCCTGTACCAGTAGCTGTAGGAGGCCTCCGCCGCTGGCCACCACCGTCCACCGGATGAGCATCGTAGTTGCTGGCATGAATCGGTCGCGGTCGATGACCCACA